CTTGCCTCAGAGGTTTGTAAGTCAAGACGATGACGGTGTGAGCCTGGAAGTACGGGCGAAGTTTTCGAGCTGTTATCACCAGTGCGTATGCTAGCCTTTCTATCTGCGGGTACCTTGTCTTTGCTCCCTACAAAATTTTACTAACATAATAGATGGGTCATTGGACCCGATCTACTTCTTTTATTAGTACCGAATTGACCACCTCGTCGCTTGCCGAGAAGTACATTTCTAAGACCTCACCCTCCTCGGGCCGGGCTAAGGTTGGCACACATGAAGCGGCTATGCGGCCGTTTAGCCTCTGAACCTCTTTTACTTTTCGGGGTGGTTTCATATCTAGGATGGCCTTTATCTTGTCCGGGTTGGCCTCAATACCGCGCCGGTTGACAATGTACCCTAGGAACTTGCCCGAGGTGACACCGAAGACGCATTTGTTAGGGTTCAGTTTCATGCTAAATTGACGCAGAATCTGGAAGATAGAATCTAAGTCTGGTATTAATTCCTGTGAAAACTGTGTCTTGATGACCATGTCGTCTACATAACATTCTATTTTCGTGCCAATTAAGGGCCGAAACAACTTATTCACAAGTCTTTGGAAGGTTGCCCCGACATTTTTTAATCCAAAGGGCATGACCTTGTAGCAGTACAGGCTGAACTCGGTTATGAAGCTAGTTTTTTCCTCATCGAACTGGTCCATCCTGATTTGGTTGTTGCCCGAGTAGGCATCCAGGAAGCTTAGCAACTCATGTCCCGAGGTCACGTCCACTAGGCGGTCAATTCTGGGGAGGGGGAAGCAATCTTTCGGGCAAGCTCGGTTCAAGTCGGTGTAGTCGACGCACATGCGCCACTTGCCGTTTGCCTTTTTCACCAACACTGGGTTAGCTACCCAGCACCTAGCACCCTTTCATCCACTAATAGTCCCTTAATTTCTTAATGGCTCAGAAGAAGGGCAAACAACGGTCAGCCGACTTTGACATAAAGTAGCTAAGGGTAGCCATACGGCCGGTGAGTCACTGGGTTTCCTTGACCGATCGAGGTGGTGCCATATTCAAGATAGTTTGGATCTTTTCTGGGTTAGCCTCTATACCTCGTTGTGTGACGATGAAGCCTTGGAATTTGCTTGATGTGATGCCGAATGCACACTTTCTATGGTTGAGCTTCATGTTGTATCTCTACAAGGTGTCAAAGGTCTCGGCTAGGTCTAAGGTGTGTTGGTCAGCTTTCAGGATTTTTACCACCATGTCATCCATGTAGGATTCATCGTTTCTCCCCATTTAACGCTTGAAAACTTTCTTTATAAGGCGTTGGTAGGTGGCCCAAGCATTCTTGAGGCCGAAGGGCATGACCTTGTAACAACACGTATCATTCTCGGTGATGAACGAGGTATTCTCTTTGTCCTCGGGGTGCATCTTGATTTGGTTATATTTGGAGAAGGCATCCATGAAGCTAAGTAGCTCATACCTTGTGGTGGCATTGACGAGGTGGTCTATCTTTGGAAAAGGAAAACTGTCTTTGGGGCAGGCTCGGTTGAGGTCTATAAAGTCAATACAGATCCGCCATTTCCCATTAGCTTTATTTACCATAACCACATTGAACAACCAGTTAGGGAAATATACCTCTTGGATAAAGCTGACGTTGAGTATCTTGTCAATTTCCTAGCCTTCCATCGCTCTGGTGCAAAGTTCCTATTTTTCTGCCAAACTGGCCTAAAGCTCGTGTCCACGCTCAACATGTGAATAATGACCGAAGGGTCAATTCCGTGCATGTCTACGGCAGACCAAGCAAAGACGTCGGCATTAGTTCTAAGGAAACTTACTAATTCTATAGACTCTCTCGAGAAGGTTGGATCCGATGCGGACTATTTTCTCGGGCTCATCCTTGTCAAGGGGGACCAAGACAAGGTCCTTGGCCGGTTGGCCTCGGCTCACTGGTTCCTTCCTGAGGTCAAGGACCTCAAGTGGTAGGGCTATTTTGTTCTTACCCTTCAGTGCTACATAGCACTGGTGGGCTACTTGTTGATTCCCCAAAATGACTTTAACGCTGTGCTTGGTGGGGAATTTGAGGGTGAGGTAGTAGGAGGAGATGGTTTCCTTGAGTGTGTAGAGGGTCGGCCTCCCGATGTTGGTGCTATAGGGGGAGTCAATCTTTACAACTAGAAACTCGTTCATCCTTGTCACCTACCGAGGCTCTATCCCTACCATGATGGGCGGGGTGATTCTTCCCACTGGTATGACCACATTCCTAGAGAAGCTGACGAGTGGCACGTCAGTGGGATGGAGGTGCTCGGGTGCCAACTTCATTCTCTCGAATGCATCATAGAAGAGGATGTCAACCGAGGAGACATTGTCCACCAATATTTTCTTCACCATAAAATTCGCAACGACGGTAGGTGCCACGAGTGCATCGTCACGGGGGACTGAGATCCACTTCAAGTCCTTGTCTATAAATGCAAGGGCTTCATTCTGCTTCGACTTCTTGGGATCTGATCCCTAGATGTTCAATTGCCTAGCATAGGCCTTACGGGCCGAGGTTGAGGCTCCACCCAAGGCCATGCCCCCGATGATGATGTCTATGACGTCGGCCAACTATTGTTGTTGCTGCTGTGAGGACGAGGTGACGGCCTCACCCCCCACGTATTGCTCCAGATGACCGTGGTAGATGAGGGACTCGATTTCATTTTTCAACTCATAGCAGTCCTCGGTGTCGTGGTCGGTGTCACAGTGGTACTTATAGTACTTCTTTGGGTTTCCCCTCTTGGGATTCCTCTTCATCTTTTCGGGGCACTTCACATACTCCTCCTCTACCTGCATAAGGATTTGCATCTGAGTGGAGTTGAGTGGTATATACTTGCTGTAAGCCAGGGATGAGGCCAGTGGCTTCTTGTTGTCCTTGTTGTTGTTGTTGTTGTCGTTGCAGTTGTCTCCATTTCTTCTCTTCTTCTTCAGGCCTCTATGATGGAAGTCAGCCTTCCTAGCATTCGCCGACCGAGGCCTCCTTGGCGGCGATGTACTTCTAAGCCTTCTTAAAATATTTTTCCTTAGACTTCAACAGTGTCTTGGCTACCGAGCACTTGAGGGCTGAGCTTGGCAGGAGGTCATTGATGGCGGCATGCATAGAGACCATGAGTCGTGGTCCCAGACTTCTAGCTCCTCCTTGAAGCGGTTGATGTAGGATCACAGGCTCTCGCCATGCTTTTATCAGATGGCCATTAGTGATATGGCACTCATCTGGCATTGCTTGCTACTGATGAAGTGGGCGAGGAAGAGGTTGGCGAACTATTCCCATGAACCGATGGAGCAAGGGTGGAGCCCGGAGAACCATCGCCAGGCAGACCCTTTGAAAGTTGCTTGGAAAATCTGATACATTAGGGCATCAAAGTACCCATAGAGGAGCATGAGCGCCTTGAAACTTTCGAGTGTGGGTGCTTTGAAGTGCGGCGGAAGGGGCTCAGAGATGATGTACGGGGTGAAGGCGACCATCCTCCCGGACATATGGTTTTGGTTGGCCAAGGCTTCAACTCGGCTTTCTCTAACTTGGCGGAGCTCGTCCTTGACAGCATCGAGTTGTGCTTGCAAGTCGACAATTCTTTGGTCAACGGGAGCCTGGGTCCCGTCCTGGTTCTCTCGAATTCAGTAGTGGTCAGCCTGGTTCCCCAAGTACTTTAATGTGGGTGTGTGTCCATTTCTTCTAGTCTGCCTATCATTCAAGAGGTCTCGAAGGTCCGAGATGCGAGAGGGAGAGGCACAGCATCACCCTTGGCGCTCGAAGGGGGGCTATGGTGGCCCAATCGCCCGCCTTCGTCCAAGGAATTTTCTCGTCGGCGGTGGTGGTGGTTCTTGGACTCGGCGGTAGTCACGAGATTGTATGGATTTTCCCCTATTCAGCTAGGGGGTCAGGAGGTCCTTGTCGACTGGCTGGCACGCCGACTGCTGTTGGACTCTGAGGGGTCGACCCTGTTGGATCCGATTGGGCCGATGGTGAACGGGTCCGGAGATGCACACTCGCCAAAGAGCCCCAAGCTTCCAGTGGGGCGGCTGCCTTGAGGGTGGCCTCCTACCGGGTGCCCCACCTCGTCCAACCTCTGTGCAAGGTTGTCGAGCCGATCGAGGACCACTTGAAACTGGTCTATCGTTACCAGGTTATGAGTGTTCCTGGTGTTTCTCACCATGTCAGTTGAAGCTTAGGAGTTAAGTCTTTAAGTTTCTTAGAGCATTACTTTAATTGAGGGAAGTCTTAGCAACATTCCCACAGGCGGCGCCAATTGTTGCCGATCAAAATAGGCTGAGGGCAACAGTGTCATTTTGCTTCCAAGCCGAGGAGTGGCTAAGTAGTCCGAGGCCTGGGGTGGCCGAGGGCTAGTAGGCCGGTCCTGCGAGGAGTAAAGGAGGGAGAACGTCAAAGGCCTCGGGTTGGTAACCAAGGCGGAGACTTCAATTGTCACGTTAGTACGGGTGCAATGCAAGGTGGATCAGGCCTAAGGTGGAAACACTTAGACGGGGCCACAAAGGAAGTTGTGAGTTCTTAAGTCCAAGTTCTAGATATTTACCTTAAGGGGATTGCCCCTTATTTATACTTGAGGCCGCCTGAAGGTAGGTGGGCTCGAATGATGAGGATGCTGTCCGGCTCTATAGAGCTCGATCATCTAAGGTCATCACGTGCAACCGCACCATTAGTCCTGGATTGTATGCCAATCCCTATTCCGCGCACGCCCCTATTGAATCCGCTTTGGGCGCCACCACCAAACACGCGCAAGCATGTTATTGGTCCGGGCCAAGTGCGCCTACATCAACTTACATTCCCATTTCCACGGTTGATAAATTCCACAAATCCGTATGACTACGGTGTGTTATAAGGGAAAAAAAAATTGATGGAGAACTCAACCAACAATATGCATGAACACAGATACAAAATTTGGCTCCAAAATAATAAACCATCTAATATTAATAATTAATATAGTCGTCCCACTCATAATTAATATATATGTATATATATTGCGTCTGAATTAAGCATATATAAGATTATAGTTTCCCAATGAAGTGAAAGATTCGGAAAGTATTATTGAAAGGAACTGATGATGAAGAACGATCTAATCAACTTAGAGCGCCCATCTTCTTTGCACATTGAATGCTGTGATCTATTATCATCTTGATATCGCACTTATACTCAAAACCTAGATCGTTCAGTTTTGTGGAACCCCATTTTACCCCTACAGCTTCCAGCTCCTCGTCCACGAATCTGATGCTAGCAAACTCGGCCATGAACAAAAACATTATTAAACCAAACCAAACCAAACAAAACATATAAAAGCACAAGGCAACAAGAAGTAAAGAAGAATCTCTACTATCTTTCACATAACTGGTACACGAGAACCTAAAAGCATCGTATAAGGGTCGTTGGCACCATCCAAACCAGCTATGAACCTCTCTCGAGCCCAGATTTTTTAGACACTTTTCCTATCCACTCTTTATTCGCCATGAATTACAGCCACACATTATTCAATTCATAATAGAGATGTGTGGCTCCTATTCACGACGGGTAGAGAGTGGGTAGGAAAAGTGCACGAAGAGAAAACCCCGAGTGCTCTTTAAATGGCAAGCAATAGTGTAATGCAACTTGGGTGGGCTAGGACTGATTTAGGGCCAAGCTATGGAGCTGAAGTGAATAGAAAACTGGACAGTCCAAGCTAAGCCCTAACAGAGAATTCATTAGGTACATGGATATGTTGCTTGATCAAAAAGTCTATAAATCTATATTATATATATAAAATAAGGTTGTTCATATCACCCTTCTTCTCTATTTTCCCTTTTCCCTTTAGTGCTTCCTCCTTAACTCTCTCTTTCCTCCATTCCCCCTTCCCAACCCTCCCATGTAACCACATGGCACCCCTCTCCCATTCACTAGAGTCCCCCATTCCAATTTTCTCTCTCTCTCTCTCTCTCTCTCTCTCTCAATCTCAATCACTTAAACCATCTCCCTCCTAAAATTTCTCCTAAACTATTTCTCCATCTTCCATATACATGCATTTAATTTTTCATCAATGTATTAAGATATTAATGTTTAATTAAAGCTTAAATATTGAAATAATATAAGTAAAAATATATAAAACAAGAGAAAAAATTAAATGAAAAAATTAATATTTTTCAACTATAAATAATATTTTAATATTTTAATGAAAAAATTATCTCTCTCCGTTGGACATTTTAAAACTCACACATCACTATTTGTACTAATGTTGAGATTTGTTGAACACTATATATAACAGAAAAAGGGGTCAAGAAGATGACTCTAACGGATTGGATCATTTCATAGCCCAAAAAGTGATTATCCCAACTTAGGGTAAATTGCTAAAACCTCCCTTCAGTTTCTGGCCATTTCTGAAACCTCTCCTAAAGATTGGTAATTGCAATCGCCTCCCTTAAACTTTCTAACACAATGGTTGCAAGTTGACCCCCATGTTAGAATCATCTAACAAGAGGCATGAAAATGTCCAAAATACTCATGCAGTTACTTTTGGCCAAAACGTTTATTTTCCAAATTTTCTTTTCATATAAATTACTACCCCAAACCCTTCCAACCTCTTTTCCAATTTAAATTGTTCTAGTTTCCAAATTTTCTCTTCATATCAATTGCTACTCCAAACCCTTCCAACCTCTTTTCCAATTTAAATTGTTTTAGTTTCCAAATTCTCCCTTCATATCAATTTCTCAAAGGTTAAGCCACATCTTTAAACTCTCTTTTTTTGTTGTTCATAAAGTTTATATTGTTTTTTTTTTCATAAAACCAACCTCAATAGTAATTGCACGGGTATTTTGGATATTTTTGTGCCTCTTGTTAGAGGATTCTAATAGAGGGGGTCTAGTTGCAATTATGTTAGAAAGCTCAAGGGAGGTGATTGCAATTACCAAACTTTAGGGGAGGTTTCAACAATGGCCAGAATCCTCATGGGAGGTTTCGACAATTTACACCCCCATGGCCAATTTATTTAGTTATTGATTCAAAAAAATCTTGATTGATCCTATTTGGTTTTCCAAATCTGTCATATAAATTTTTAGAAACATATCTTAAAAATAAATATTAGAAACACTATTAATAACATATTTTTGTTAAAATATTAATTTGACTATTAATTAAATTTTCAATAAAATATTTTTTTGTTATATTTTTAGACAATGTTTTAAAAACAAACCCGGAGGCCAAACCATTTTTTCCCCGGGGTCGCAGGTCACTAGTTCGATCGATCGGGTTGAACGGTTCAAATCATGCCACATCATCATATATATGTATTAAGTATATATTTATGTACATATTTATATATGTGTATAAATATATATTTTTTAAACAAATAATATATAAATATGTTTTAGATATGCTATATGTATTTTTATATTTAATTAATGTTTTGTAACGCAAATTTTAATTTTTTTATTTATAAAAATATTAAAAATTGTAATTTGAGGTTAAAAAGGGTTTTTTTTACAAAAATAGCAGGGCAAGGCACCTATGACACCTTGGGACACAGATCTCGAAAAGTTATCCAAAAAAAAAAACACCCCAATCTGACATCAGAGTGCAAAGTTATGGCCTCTAAAAGTTTGTATACATTGAGTGTACAACCCACGACCCGATGATTGGGTCGAACGGTTCTTCACCAAGTCAATGGTTTTTGACCATTTGACAAGTCTTGACTGAACTGGACCTGGAATCTTGGTCAGGTGACGGTTGGAACGGTTCGACCAGCCAGGTCAATGGTGGGTTGAAAACATTGTTTGTAGAATTTTTTTGTTAAAAGTTCTCTAAAATTTTTTCTATATATTATGTAAAATCTCCACTACTAATTTTCTATTTTTTTTTATGAATATGAATTGCTTCCTTTGTCTTATAGCTCTATTGTAATGAACTTTATTTTTTGAAGCATTGAAGAGGTAGATCAAATGGATCAAGTCGTTTCCCTAGATTTGTCAATTTTCCAAGAGAAGAAGAAAGTAAAATAAATGAACCAAGGGCCTAAATATCAGTATGCATCAAAAAGATAATGTTCATGGGTCAGGTTATTTGAATACCAGAAAACCATCCAACCTCTTCAATTACGAATTCATACCAAATTGGACCAATTAAATTTGACCAGTTTGACCCAATTATGCAATTTTCAAAACAAAAAGACTAGAGTCAAGTAATTTGAATACTTGAAAACCATCCATCCACTAACTTCAATTACCAGTTCATACTGAATTATATAAAACAAAAGGGGCAAATGAGGGAAATTTTCACTAAAATAATAATTTTTTTAATTGACAAAATGAGGAAAATTTTTCTAAAAATAAAAATAGCAAAAAAGTAGAAATTTAAATTTTTAATTAATTGATAAAATACGAGAAAATTTCACTAAAAATAACTTATTCAAAGTAATATTTGTTGAGAAAATGTTAGAAATCAAAAAGTAACTAAAAAATAAAAGGGAAAATTAAAATCAGTAACACAATTTACATAATTAACTTATTAATTAAAACATATTAAATAACTTAGTTTTATTAACTTACCCTAAAATTAGTAAAATTAATTTACAAAATTTATAAATTTTAATATTTAAATTATTATTGAAAAATAACATAATAAAAACAATAAAAAATGTTAACAGACTTAGAAAAAAATATTATTTTATTAGTTAAAGTTGATACAAATTAATAAAAACATAATTTAATTAAAATAAACAAATATTTTTAAATTTAACTTAATAAAGAAGTAATTCCCTCTCCCTAATACATTTTAGATTGTTTTTTTAATTTATTAGACATAACCGAAGAATAATGCTAAGATGGATTGGGTTCAGCTTTGCTCAATTACATTTAAAAGTAATAATAAAAATTAACACAAATTTATCCAGTGCATTTAAAAGTTATAATAAAAATTAACACAAATTTATCCAATAGCATATAACCCAAAGATGGTTTAGATTGAACTTGCGAAGACTTGACCCAATTGATATATTCATAAAGTTCCTGCCACAATTTCTTTTAACAACACCTGTACATGGCACGAGGCCCAGTAGTTCATTTTTAAGAAATATTTTGGGAGTGTTGGTGCCTCGTTTCCATTTATATGCATGAATAGTCAAAATACCTACATGTGCATGTATATCATTTAAAAATTAAAGTGGATGAGTTGGGTTGAATTGGTCCTGCTCCATGAATGGAAAAAGATTTATTACTCGGGCCAATCAAAGTTCACATCTCAATATCAATGGTCATCAAGACTTATTACTCTATATTTGACAGTGAGATGGATAATTTAATTTGGCCAATCTACATTAATTATTCCAAACAATCCGCGATTGGAAAGGGGCTCTGTAGACAGGCCATGTGCTCTCTGCTGCCCGCCCAATGCCCAACCTACATTGGAACTTTGCTTAAATAATTATCAATTGTCTTAAGTATTTTTATTCTATTTGTAGTGTCTGATTTCTTCTCCTCAGTCCTCACCTCCTCCACCCACACCCGGCCTGCGCTCCATTTTGACCAATCTCAGGCAGGGTTCACTCTCGGTTATTGTGAACACTCACTCAGGAGGCTAGTTGAAAGAATTTCATAGTCCTAATGTGGAGCTCTGGGTAATATTGCGTCACTCTGGTATATCGCAAATGCAACCGATTAATGAAGAATTAACAGGAGAAATAATCATTAAGCATGGAAAAGTTGCAGTTTTCAGCAGATGGAGTTTAATTACTTACTCATGTCCAATGTGGAGCTCTGGGTAATATTGTCGAATGTAATGCGCTATCTCCTTTGTTGATAGGTATGCGCTTGCACATAAAAATCTGCCTGCAGTTACTGAGGGTTTCTCCATGCAGAAGACATGGGCCTCACAGACATCTTCAATATGTATAACTGGAACTTTACCTAGCAAAGCCTCCAAAAATCTAAGCATTTGATATGCAAATGGGTGGTTTAGAGCTTGTGATATGAGCAGTGCCATGCTTTCAGGTAAATAGGAGAGAACAGTTTCTCCCCCTACAAGGCCACAAGCGAGGCTCACCACCTCCATCCCTCCATTGTTGTAACTTGTAACTCCTTTTCGGCAAGTGTCTTTGAATTTGTATACTCCTACGTATACAAAAACATATTGTCAGTTCATCACTCTTAATTATCAAGATCCAAATTAGTAATGCTATATATAGCTCTTTACATCCATAGACATCAATTTCACAACTATATATGGAGACTTTTTTTGTAAAACACGTTATTAAGATCATTATATTGTTCTGGGTTGGCCTACTTAGCTCCATGCATGGCCATGGACTTCCCCCATCTTGGGCAGTTTCAACAGTTAATTAATGGGTTGAACTACAGATCAAGTATGTCACCCTCTGAGCTAACTAAAAATAGTTACTAGAAGAGAGAGATCTGCAGATAGCAATCTAGAACGTAACATCTACTCTTCAAAATAGGATTTGTTCTAACAAGAACAAGGATGAAACAGGAATCATACTAGTTAGTCAAGGGTCAAGTTAATAATGAAATTAAAAGCCTGCAGCCACCTTCAAAGGATCGCTGCCATAAGGAAATGAAGGACTCAAAGGTAAGTTAGTCCAGCAGGAGTCGTCCATCAAATCTTTGAAACTGATGCCATCGTCTTTCAGCGGTGATGCGGCAACCACAGAGGCAGTATAGATCAGTCGCTTCACTGTTCCCGATCTTATGCAAAACTGCACAATTCTCCTCACCCCTGCTACCGCAGCTTCACTTGTATCCTTGAACTGTTGAATTAACCAAGGTACCAGTATCAGTCAAAGGAACCGACCCCAAAATTGGACCACAAAAAAGAGTGCTGAGAGAGAGAGAGACCTGCCAACTATGGCTGTTGTGTTGCAAGGGGGTGGCAAGATGGAACACAAACTCGCAACCTTCAATGGCCGGCTCGAACTCATCTGGATTGTAAATATCTGCCTTAAACAATAGTAATCTGTTATCTGCATCAGGAAGGCTTTTGAGAAGTCCCACCTTAACCGGGTTATTTGGGGTAATGGGGTTCACCAAAATCAATAACCTGCCTCAGAGAGAGAGAGAGAAAGAGAGAAAACCTGGGTTCCTCAATGTTGCATGAACGATATAGCCTTTCTGTAAGAGCTTTCTGGTAAGCCAAGAGCCCAAATAACCTGCAGCACCTGTAACACAGACCTTGGTGTTGTTGCTTTTCGTCTCCATGTTCATTGCAATCTCGATCTTACCACTACTGCATGTGCAAGTCTGATCGTCAAGAGTCGTTTTAAACATAAACGGGGATCCAATGGGATTAATCATAAAGCTAAGAGTTAGAGGTGTAAACGGGGATCCAGGCGTGACACGGCCCAGCATGATTGTATGGACCGATGGGCTGTATCGGGTTTGGGGTTTCAGGTCAGCGGGTCAGGCCGGCACAGTCCGCACTGTCGTGTCATGCTACCCATGGCCCGCGGGTAGGCACGGTGCGACCTGCGGCCCAGCCCATATATGTATTTCATATATATTTATATATATAATATATATTATATAAATTATAATTATATAATAATATATTAATAAAATAAATAATGTTTTTAATTTTATTATACTATTTTATTTAATTATTGTATATATAAGTGTGATCATGGGGGAAATGGATTTGTCACCCATCAATTTTTCAAATAAAAGTGATGGGACCTCCATGAATAATTTTCAAAAATAATATTTTTTATAATGATTCCAAAACCCAAGGCACTTGCTTACCGGTGTAGATAAATAAACTAAAGAGAGCAAGATAAAAAAAGAAAAACAATTCGGGGAAGAGATGTATACATATAACTCAACTAATATAGTATGAAGAACAAATATACGAAACATCTACAGACTTAGCTAAATATAGCATGAACATGAAATGGTATAAACCAGATTTATCTCTAGAACAAATAACTTAGGATGATTAACAGAATCGAACTGTAGCTATTCTATCACAATATTTAGCTAGTGGAATTGATATCAGAAGTAAAAAAATAAATAACAATAATAAAAGAAAACAGTCAAGCAAGAAAAATTACATGATTGATTATGAGATTCACAGTGAACAAATTTAAATCCTCAAAATAGAAAACAAAAGCTAATCCTAAATCTGGACTGGTACCGAGAGGTACCTGAGCTGAGACAACCCATTCCCTCTACTCCCAGCTCCAGATGTCGAGTAAACGGCCGAGCAAAAGTGATGCAGCGTGACGCACTCGATCGAGCGAGCGGCTTCGTTCGTGAAGCCTTACGTAAAGACGCGTATGCCTTCGTAGAAAGAGAAAAATGGCGAAAGAAAATTTTTGTGTGTCTTCTATTAACTCAGAAGTCAAAACAGGAGTATTTATAATACATCGGTACACTTGTAGAATAATCAGGAGAATTAAACTTGTAAGACAACTGAAACAACTAAAACGATTGGGAACTGGACTTTTACACATCTTCGAAATCTTCCTCAGGCTGCCATTGATATCCACCGTCCGATAGCCATCATCCTTCAATGCTTATTCAATGCATGGAGCTGTCACCATTATCCTATGGTTGTTGGATCACGTAAGGTTTCTGGATGTAAGAGGCGTGAGCGGTCGTCGGTTGGTGAGCTGGTTCTCCATCAAAAAGAAACCACCCGATTGTAACATACAGAATGAGAGGAATTACCTGTGGAGAATGTGGCCTGAGGACCGATGAAGCAGCAAATAGATCAGCAACAGATGAAGCAATTTCAGTCTGTTTAGACGATGGATGATGAATGAACAGGGGATTGTTTCGTCGTCAGGGGAAGCCAAATGTGGAGTTCGATCTCTGTGAATGGCGGAAAAGAACAGGGTTCCAAGAAAAGGCAGGGAACCACCAAAAATGAGAGACAACCGAATGACCTTCGCTGCTGGGAAGCTGCACTCACAATCGGAACTGGATATCTAACTTGTCGCCGCAACCTGCTTCGTTCGAATGAAAGAGGGGATGAACGGGATCCCTGAAATTTCCGAACTGGAGCTGGGGGAGAAGTCAAAACTGATGCCGCCGCTCTGATTTGAAGAAGATGAATAGTGTATTTCTGAGGTCGATCTGAGAAGGAGAAGGTGCAGGAGGAAGAAGAGACAGAAGAGAATAGAGAGAAGAAGAGAGGGGCTGAAAGGGTGCCGTCGCCGCCGCTCTGTCTGGGTTCGAATAGGGGAAGACGATGAACAGTGCTGGTTTGCCGATCAGGGCGATATGGTCTGATGGAAGTGAGAAAAAGACGGAAGAGAAAAAAAGAGAGAGGGAGATTGAGAGGTAGATGAGGTCTGAGCGGATTTCAGATCTACCGCTGCTGCAACTTGCAGCGGCGGTGACGAAAATGGAGGGATAGGGAAAATGGGAGAAGATGAGAAGAAGGAGAAGAAGATCAGGGAGAGAGGGAGGGGAAGGCCGGAGAAGGAGATCGGAGCCGCCGCTGCTAGGGTATCGCCTGTTGGGGGTTGCTGCAGCCCTCTGTCGCGAGGAAGGGGAGAGTGAACAGTGGATTCGGAAGAAGAAGAAGAAGAAGGAAGAGGGATAAAGGTTGAACGAGGTAAGAGGTGGAGGTCGGATGGGTTCGCCGCCCGTTCAATGGTGGGTGGTTCCGGGTCAAAAAATTGGAGGGTTGAGATGGGTCTGATGGTTGAAAAGGGTTTTGATGCGTGATGGCTAATGAAATTGGTCAAAACAGAATCTTCTTGGATGAAGAGGCAAACAGGGGTAGTTTTGAATGGAATTTTATGGGGCGGGGTTTCAGGACGTTCTGGGTTGATTGGCGGGGTCAGATTGGCCCGACTGGGCCCAGATTGGGTAGATCTGGAAAGGGTTCAGTTCAGTTAATCTAAAGGCTCAAAATGAAATCTTTATGTGATTGAGGGTAAATAAAGGTGTTTTGGGCTGGAATTTCATATGTAGGAGTTTTTTGGTATTTTGGGGTGATTGGAAAAGTTTGATTAGTTTAGATGCGTTCGGGTCAAGTGGATATGGGTTATGGGTGCGAGAATGGTCGAAATGGAATCTTTGTTTGATGGACGGATTAACGAAGGAATTTTGAGTTCAAATTTCATGGGTAGGTGTTTCGGAATGTGTCGGGCCTGATGGTTATGTCTGATCTAATGGTTGAGGTGTAAGTGAGGGTCGATCGGGGACCATCAAATAGGTATCAGGTAGGTTTAATGGTGGATTTAAGGGCTCTCGGAGTGAAATTTGGGTTCTAGGTTTTGGGGTGTTTCGGAGAGGTCGAAATGGTATGATCAGGTGTTTGATGTGAATTGGAGGCTCAGGCTGCAAACCGAGCAAAAATCAGGTGCTAACAATAAGCAATTGTGTACATCAAAATTCTTAAATTCATATAAAATTAAAATTTTAAGTTTTTTTTTAATTTATTTTTTAAATAACTTTGGCCCGGTCCATGGCTTGGCCTAGCCCAAGGCTTGGCCCATGAACCGGCCCAGCAAGGGCCTGCATGGGCTGAAGCCATGGGCCATGCCGGGCCGACCCCCCAAAATATTCCAGGGGAGAAAGGCACGGTCCGCACTTTGCGCGGGTTGTACACAAGTTGTGTCGTGCTAACCCAGCACGACTCGTTTTACACCACTAATAAGAGTATACAATTAATAATTATTTATATTTTATATACTACTTTTAATAAATTTTTACCAATACAAAAATAACAATAATTAATTTCAACTAGTGTTGTTCATAAAATTGATGAAACCAACCAAGTCGATCGATTTGACCCGAGTTGGTTGGTTTTCTAATATTTCCGGTCAGCTTTGGTTCAATAATTTCCTAACCCGAATAGGTTGGATCAGTTTCGCATTGGCTATTTGTAAACCGACCAAAATCGAACAACCTGATCAAAGATGTATATTAATATTTTATATTTTAAATGTAATTTTTTAATACAAAAAAGTGGGAAAATTCCCATATTCATAGTCTAAAAGATTTTATATCGTAAACTTAATTTTTAATAATGTCACTGTAATTTTTAACTTTAAATTGCATTTTTAAGTTTAAATCTTTTGAACTGATTGATCAAACCAAAAATCGACCCAAACCAACACAATCTGAGTGAGGCAGTTTTCACAAATGGTTAGTCAGTTTCGGGTGACCAACTCCCCAACTTGACCAAGTCAATTCGGTTGGCCAAACAGCCTACAATCGAACTAAACCAACCCATGAACACTCCCAATTTCAACTAAATTAATAATCTAATCTATAATAAATAACAATAGTTTATTGTCCAATAATTATTCAAAATTATAGCGAAAACACACAATTATTGAAAATATATTGATAATGAAAATACAATAAATAACTAATAAAAATACAATAATTAAAATAATTACAAAAATACAATAAATACTAAAAAATATATTAAATTAGTCAATAAACAATATAATCTCAAATAATAGTTTAATCTATAATAAATATTAATCAATTAATTATAACAAAAATATAATAAATTAAATTTAAAAAGTTCAACAATAGTAGTTTAATCTCCAATAGTTATTGAAATTTTTCTATTAAATAACAAAAAGAAAATTTATACATAATTATTGCAAAATATATTTATTACAAAAAACAATAAATAATAACTAAAATATAGTAAATATTAATTTTAATATATAGTCATATAATAAGTATAGATCAAAAGTTTAAAATTATTATTAATTTCAATATTATGTTATAATTAGTTTTCTACTGTTAAGAATTTTTTTAAATTTATTACATAATTTTTTTATTTTAACTATTTAAATACTTCTTTATTTAAAATATTTAGTGATTTAAATATTTAAATAATATGTAAAATATTTACATTTTTGTTTTTAATTTTATTTATTTTAGTGATATTACATAATATTAAATATTTTGTTATATAATTATTTATCTATTTTTAATATTTTTTTATTTAAGATATTTAGTTATTGAAATATTTAAATAATATTTTATTTTTTAATGTTAATTTTTTATTATTTGATTAACATTTAAGTTGAATAATGCGTAAAATCATAATTTATATTGTTAGTACATAATTTCATGATGAATTTTGTAAAAATATAAAATTATTAATAATATAAATGTTATAAAATCTATTAGAATTGTTTTTCTAATAAATATCTTAAAGTTATTATATAATTTTGTTAGAATATTTAAAGCATTCTTAATTTTTTTTAATTCAAACTTTCTTTAAATAGATATAGATAAAAAGTGGCGGAGAGGATAAATAGAAGTTAGAGATAATTTAGGAGAGAAACTCT